CGTGCAGCTCCACTATCATGCCCTCAAGTGCCTGGAATAGCATCCTACAAAACAAGAATTGACCATAATTGACCCATCCTTTTTTTTCCGATTCCCAAGATCCCCCAATTCTCAACCAATCTAGTTGTGCAAATCTTTCTGGTTTAAATCCAAGTTTTTCTGGCTTGAATTGGTCAAATCATATCCCAGCCCGACTTTCTACCGGCTGCCTTTCGTCCCAAGGAGCTCAAAGAAGCCACGCTGACGGGTCGGAGATTGCAGCCCGAGGCCTAAAGGTTTCACCAAGTGAGCGGTGTTCAAAAGCCATCAAAAGCCCTATTTGTTGATGATTAGATGGAGTTATACTACCCGTTACTACCCTTTATATATTGGGGGTTTTGAACACCATGAACACATGAATGTTTCCAATGAATAATCCATGGGGAAACCCGTTTTCAACCAGGCAGCTTTTGGACGACGGGTTTGGCGGGTTTCGAACACCCAGGAAGGTGGAAGAGGGTGAGCTCCAAGACGTCCCTTGGCAGAGAAGACTTGCGGGTTGCTGGATTGACCATCACAGAATTGGATGAATATTGGTTTTACGGGAAATAATGGTTTTACACAACTTACCGTAATGTCACTTGATTTTTGATATATATATATATATTGTGGGTCAAAACCATGGTTTCCTGAAAAAAAAAACATCGAACCAATCCAGTCAGACCACCAGAAGGAGTTTACAGGGCACTTGGAAGTTAGATCATCTCGGAGGCAATTATGAATCCTTGCTTCAAGATGTAACAAATCGTCTGAGGGTACTGACCTCACCTAAAGGTTTGCTCAACCCGACTGTCATGTTGAGAGGATTCCAGGCACTTTGCGAATTTGGTGTCCCAGAACCATACTGAGCAAACGGAATTCCAGGATTGAAGACCGTGGTGATCAATTTGGTGAGTAGGTAGGAGAACCTTGGCCACTGGAAGATTGGAGACCTGGGAGTCGAAGGGAAGTCTCGATATGGAGCAAATGATGATTCACAGGCAGCAGAAATTTCCATGTTACAAGCAGGGTTCCGGGCAGCAAATTCTTGATTTGCAACTTCCTGCATTGATAGATTCGGCCGGTCAGAACTCCAAACTTCTAACAGCAGAGAGAAGTGTCAATCGCACTGCGACCAAGACCAAAGAGACCAACAACCTGTGATGTCCTACCATTCGGAACACAACCGGGTCTCCGTTGTGAGTAGGTTGGTATTGGGTCATATTTGGGTACCCAAAAATGGGTTGCGACTTTCTCCTGAAAAGGATCAGTTCAGTTGTTTGTCGCGCAGGGTCATTCCCACCCCGGATGGCTTCCCTATAACCCCCAGGGCGTCGTTTCTGGCCGCAGCTGCGCATTTTCATGGGGCTGGATTGCCTTGGGCTTAGCCGGGCCGGCTCTTGACGTTAGTGACTCTGGCTCCAGCACCGCTGCAAACGGCTCCGCGAAGCGGGCCAAGGCAGAAGTGTGGGGCATCGTGTTGCCGTTGACAAAAAGGTAGGGACTGGCAGTGTCAGATGCTTGCAAATGGCCAGAAAATGAGATACACCAAGAAGTTCTGTTCTTCTTAGCAAGCAAAATATGAGCTTCAAATGAAGAACCTGTGTGCTTGTATACTTGTTTCGAACAGATGCAATGGCTGCGCTTTGCACTGAGATTCTTCAACTGGTTGATTCTTTGATGTTCAAACACCCCGGCGGTGAGGAAGAGGATTTGTTCACATGGACAGCAGCCCAGTCATTCCTCTTGTCCCAGGCCGCAGTCCCAGGCCACATTTTGCAACAACAAGCACATGAAAAAAAACTTTTAAAAGCCTTCCTTTTCTTCCCAGCTGAGAATGTTGCAGCCGCACCACCATACAACCATACAACTCTTAAACTTCAACTCTAGGAAATAGATGGAAATAGTACATCAGTAATATCAGCTTTGTTCCAAACATTCCCCAACATTCCAAGCACATCCCTCCCTTTTAATCGCCTGTTGGGCGCAGCCGAAACTGCAACGGCCGCTGGCACGGGCGCTGTTGATGGGGCTCTGGGATGGTCTGGGAGAGCTGCTCGGATTGCCAGACTGAAGTCATGGATCATGGAACATCGGATGACTTAAATGATTCAAATGATATTCAAATGATATACAAAAGGCTAGACTGGAGTTGTAACATGTTGTAACTACTTAGTTGCAAGATGTTGCAAGAATGGCATTTTTGTACCCCGCACAATTGGGCTCACGCATGCACTGTGGTCTTGAAACGTGTGGGATGACAACCACTTTCTATATCAGAAGTATTCAGAAGATAATCCCTTCCCCCTATCATATGTAAACCACCACCTGAACGAAACCCTCGTTAAACGTATTGGATCTCATTTTGCGGTCCCCAAACGTTCAGTTTTCGGTAGTCGCGGGACTGATGCCCAAGGTATGATAGCCAGGAGCGCAGAAATGCCATCTGCAGGCGACGGTCACCATTTGGGGCTTCTCAAGATGTCCCAAACAGGGGTATACCCCATTTGATATACTCAAATTGGGGATGGTTTATTATTGGGTTTCCCACATAACTACGAAGCAACCGATCAAATCCTAGTTATCCCCACTTTTGGTGATTAGAGTGCCATTGAGTTCTCTATGGAAGGAGCGTTCCAACTCCCCCCGACTTAATCAACCAGGATGGATGAATCAGGGGTTGACAGTACAAATACGTCTCAACACTTGACGCAAGACAGCAGACAACAGGAGCAGACTTTATCAATTCATTGGTGAAGATCTTACCCTCTGGTAAACTAACATAACTATGGAAAATCACCATGTTTAATGGGAAAATCAACGAACTAAATGGCCATTTTCAATAGCAAACTGTTAGTTTACCAGAGGGTACCTGGGGGACGGGGGCTCAAAACCCTGGCAGAGCGAACATCTGCAGGCGCCAAGCCCAGATGTTGGACGAGCAAATCGCTGAGAAGCACCGCCGCGAGGCTCGACGTCGTTCGCAGGGCGGCTGAGATTTTTGGAAGAGAAGTGGCTGGAAGGTCCAGCATTTACGTTACATAATTATATATGTATATATATATATATACATACAATTATATATTTGATTTTTACGGATGTTTTCTGGAAGCATTCTCTTTGGATTATATGTCGAATCATATTTCCAGTTGTTGTTTTTCCAGAAGTTTCTGGCGATGTAGAAGCCACACAGGAGAAAGCGCGACAACGCGAACTTGAGGAGGAGCGACAGCAGCCACTAGCACTGCAGGTAGAAACACCGTTGCTGTCCACATTTTTCCGAACAGATCGGTCTTTGACAATTGATGCTTGACGTGTTGATGACGCTCTATGTCTTGTCTTTTCGATGATGCTGAGGATGTTGAAATTGATCAGTTCTAAGCATCAGGTCGGCTCAAAACACCATTGAGGGAATCGTAATGGGTGTGTGGGGTATGCACTGAGAAGGCTCATAAGTTGCCTGCGTCTAAAGAAGAAAGTCAACAAAATGATCATTAATTTCAAACTTTGGGCAGTATGACTGGTCTTTGCTGGCTACTTCTGCAGTGATATCCTGATTGTTTTGAATCAGAATCCATATTCATACCCCAGATCTCCCTTGTCCATCTAATGTGCAACCACTTTCTTCTCTTTGACCAACAAAAATCGAAGATATCATATGCGCATCCCAAACACTTTGGCTGGTGAAGCATACCTTTCTGCTATTCCGACTAAGGTTCAGACCCAAAAACGAGCCGCAGAGCCAAGCTCCACAGCAGCCGTGGCAGCCCTACCAGCCTTATGAGCCCCTTGACCGAGACAGGCTTACCATTTATTCCATCAAAAGTTCTTGAGAACAGGGATTAACAGACCAATAAGCTTTTGATTCTTATTTAGGGGATTTAGGGGTGTATATTTTTTTATTTTGGAAAATTACTCTACAGTTTCTTACGGCAAACCACTAGGGTTTTTTTCCGGAGTTTTAAAATCTTGATTTCTACAAAGCGCAGGGCCACACTTCTCTAGGTTATTCAGGCAGCGAAACCCTCAAACCCCTAAACTCCAAAAACATGTGGTATTGGTATCCGTAGTTTTTGTTTTTTGACGCAAACACTATATGGGCCCCCAAAATTGATAAATTGATAAGTTAGAGATAAACTACATGATTCCACAAGAGATGGGCTGATGAGGGATGTCATGTCCCCAAGCACCTCATTGCTGGTTCATACTCGAGCAGTTGGTGGTGACTACAGATTGAGCCATTCATGTTGGAACGCCATTCTTGACAGGTTCTTCCTGAATTTTGGATGTATCATTTGATTCTTCATTCATAGAATTGGATGATGGGAAAATTTAGAGGAAACCCCTATATTTGATGGTAAAAACCATGGTTTCCTGTAGATTTTCCCTTAAACCAATCCATTGATTCATGATTCAAAACCTATTTTTTGATGGTCAGATTGGCTCCTCTATGGGCTTGGCTCCTCTAGGCCGCCCCCTCCGGCTGCGCAACAACAGCACCTCAGCGAGTCGGAGATCCGGTGTCCCGAATTACTGGTTGATCCAATGAGTAGATGATAAGACGGTTGAAGGGACCGCACAAATAGGAAACAGGCTGGTTTTTACCAATTAAACATAAATAAATATGGGACTTTCCTGCAGATGTTCTCTTCATCCAATGTTCGGACTTTAGTAATGGTTCATATTGTATACTGTATGTTTTTTTTTTGCCGCAGCGTTAATTTCTCATATCAGACAGACATTTTAGCAAGAATGGGCATGATGTGCAATAGTCGGCAGCAACAGCTGAGATATACAAGGGTATAATAAATACATATGACATATATGTACAGTATTTATTATGTGAATTGATATTGATATAACGTCAAGCCCAGATCAATACATCCTAGCTGATTCATTGAGATCAACCAGGATCTCATTCATCCTTTCGTTCCACTTTCGTTGGCTGGAGTGCTTTCCCTTCCAATATCTTCCACTTTCCAACATGTGAAGAAAAACAAGCCATCTGATCAATTTGCCATGTTTATTTCCCATCAGTCGGGTAAGTGGTAAAATTACGGTACCCCAAAATGGAAGGTTACTAAGAATTTACCAACATTTGCGGTTCGCTGGGTTTGAATTTTGACCCATCCCCACGAAAGAAGTACAGTAACAGACGGCAGGGAGTGCATCCAATGCCTTTCTGGACCAAAATCGATCATCATTTTGTTTCTTGATGAGGGTTTCAATTGCAGACATTCTAATATCCCAGCATTGTGCCATCCTCACCACCTGTTTTTCCTGGTACACAGAATTTTTTGGACGGTTATTTTGACCTATATATCGATGGTCCATACACTATCATAGACCCATGATCCCCCACTTTCTCCATTTGCAGCCCTTGAGGTTTTCAGTTTCACCCCCAGCCGCGGCACGTCCCTTTGCGCCTTGGCGGTTAGGCCTTCACGGGCTGAAACTGATCGGCTGGGATGGAACATCTTTCATTTAGTTAGATTATTTTTGCTAGTGGGATGGAACGGCATCATCTTTCCTCTGCCACTTCTTGGCTTCCAATCCAAGGCCTTCAACATGGCCCAAGCTGCAAGGTAGCCGACGCACTGGAGCAATGAAAGTTTTGAGGGAGTGAGTGATCACGCATGATATTTATAGACTCTCAGATTTTCAGGGGCACGATTTATGGGACTATATACCTTTATAATCTTTTATGTATAATGGTGTAAAATCGTGGCAGACTGGCAGGGCGCAGGCACCGCAACAGATGCAGCCGTCCTTTTTGCAACAGTTGCACCAGCAACTCTTGCCACTTGGACGCACGGCTTCGGGAAATCGGAATTGGAAACCACCCAATCTTTTGCTAGAAATATGATTCAAGGGATTCTCGAAGGAAGTTTAGAAGTCAAACTTCCGACAATATGGACAGATGAAAAGCAGAGGTGGGAAGAGTCAGAGAAGAGAAAAGAAAAAAAGCGATCAGAGAAGAAAAAGAGTCAGAAGAAAGAAGATGCAGGTGCGCGAAAAGGTAGAAAAGTCGCGAAACGCTGTGTTTTTTCCAATGTTTTGTGGCTCCGGAGGGTCGAAAAGTAGGCTCGCTAAAGTGGCAGGTGCGGAGCCATCTGGTCAGATGAGAGATGAACAATTGCACGCCGCTGTGGTGCGAAGCACAAATGCTTAAAATGCCTCGACGTTGGAGCACTTTTGGAAGTTGAGATGTTGAAAAAGCACACGCCGTTGTGGCACGAGGCACATTTCCAAGTTAAAAGTGCAAAAAACTCAGGGTCTCAGACCACTTTTGGACGTTGAGCTGTTAAAAAAAGCGCATGCTGTTGTGGCGCGAAATGTCAAAACACATCAGGTTCGGAGCATTTTTGGAAGTTGAGATGTCGAAAAAGTGCACGCCGTTGCGGTGCGAAGCACATTTTGAAGTCAAAAGTGTAAAAGAATTGGCGGTCTCGGAGCACTTTTGGACATAAGATGCCGAAAAAAGCGCCGTTGTGGCGCGAAGCACATTTCGAAGTCAAAATGGTAAAACACCACATGCTCGGACCACCTTTGGAGGTTGAACTGCGCTACACTACACGACACGACAGGACACTACAGTGCACAACAACTACGCTTGCAGCTACAAGTACAAGTACAACTACACCTACACCTACAGCTACCACAACAAGCACAAGACACACAAGACGCACAAGAAGCACAAGAAGCACAAGAAGCACAACAACTACAAGAAGCACAAGAAGCACAAGAAGCACAAGAAGCACAAGAAGCACAAGAAGCACAAGAAGCACAAGAAGCACAAGAAGCACAACTTTAACAAAAACAACTTTAATAACAACAACTTTAACAACAACAACTTTAACAGCAACAACTTTAATAACAACAACTTTAACAACAACAACTTTAACAACAACAACTTTAACAACAACAACTTTAACAACAACAACTTTAACAACAACAACTTTAACAGCAACAACTTTAACAGCAACAACTTTAACAACAACAACTTTAACAACAACAACTTTAACAACAACAACTTTAACAACAACAACTTTAACAACAACAACTTTAACAACAACAACTTTAACAACAACAACTTTAACAACAACAACTTTAACAACAACAACTTTAACAACAACAACTTTAACAACAACAACTTTAACAACAACAACTTTAACAACAACAACTTTAACAGCAACAACTTTAACAGCAACAACTTTAACAACAACAACTTTAACAACAACAACTTTAACAACAACAACTTTAACAACAACAACTTTAACAACAACAACTTTAACAACAACAACTTTAACAACAACAACTTTAACAACAACAACTTTAACAACAACAACTTTAACAACAACAACTTTAACAACAACAACTTTAACAACAACAACTTTAACAACAACAACTTTAACAACAACAACTTTAACAACAACAACTTTAACAACAACAACTTTAACAACAACAACTTTAACAACAACAACTTTAACAACAACAACTTTAACAACAACAACTTTAACAACAACAACTTTAACAACAACAACTTTAACAGCAACAACTTTAACAACAACAACTTTAACAACAACAACTTTAACAACAACATCTTTAACTACAACAACTTTAACAACAACAACTTTAACAACAACAACTTTAACAACAACAACTTCAACAACAACAACTTTAACAACAACTTTAACAACATCACCTTTAACAACAACAACTTGAAAAACAACCACTTGAACAACAACAACAAACAACATTAACAACAACAACTTTAACAACAACCACTTAAAGAAGGACAACAACCACTTGAAGAACCACAACAACAACAACCACGACTGCAAGGACTACAGCGACTACAACGACTACAACGACTACGACGACGACGACGACGACTACGACGAACGTGCAGTGTAGTTGTAGTTGTAGTTGTAGTTGTTGTTGTTGTAGTAGTTGTAGTAGTAGTAGTAGCAGCAGGAGTAGTGGTAGTAGTAGTAGGAGTAGGAGTAGAAGTTGGAGTTGTCGTGTAGTGTAGTGTAGTGTAGTGTAGTGTAGTGTAGTGTAGTGTAGTGTAGTGTAGTGGTAGCTGTGGCTGTAGTTATTGTTGCTGCTGTTGTTGTAGGCTATATGTAGCTGTTGCAGTTGTAGTTGTAGTTCTTGTTGTGGTAGTGGTAGTAATAGTCGTAGTAGTAGTCGTAGTAGTCTTGGTGGTGGTACAATTACAACTGCAACTACGACTCCACGACTCTACTCTATATACACTACACTACACTACCTTACCTTACCCTACCCTACCTTATCCTACCCTACCCTACCATACACTACCCTACCCTACCCTACCACTACACCACAACTACAACTACAACTAAAACTACAATTACAATTACAACTACAACTACAAGTACAACTACAAGTACAGCTACTACAGCTACAACTACAACTACAACTACTACAGCTACAACCGCAACTACAACATTATAACTACAACTACAACTACAACAACATCAACTACAGCTACAACTACACTACAAGTTGAACTAAAACTACAACTACATCACACTACACCACACTACATCCAGCAGTTGTGGTTGAGGTGACCACTGCAGCCACTCCAAAAACACAACTCCAACCAACTTTCTGTCCATCAGCAGATTCGCTCTGCCATCTATGCATCACAACAACTCACCTCTCCTTATAGTTTCTTATCTTTGAAACTTCCGCCGCCGCCTTGTGCGGTACTACTGGGATAGGGAGAGATCCAAAGTTTCTAGCTAGATAAACTTCTAGTTTTTAGGTGTCTAAGTTTGGCCATGTTACGGGATGGGTCCAATGTTTTTTGTTGAGGGAATTCACCCCCTGAGCTCACAATTGGCCAGGAACAGTGTCGATGAAAGAACCCTGTCAGGAACTCTACAGGGCCCAACTCTCCATTGTCATTCTTTGTTGCACAACCCCCAACAGATTTTGGTTTTCAGCTGCTTTGGTTATGTTATGATTGATTTCACTTTCATTTTTGGATTTGGTTTATTGCTAATGATCCCCCACCGGACACCAAGAAGCCGCGCATGGCGCAGCCGAGGTACCAGCCCTTGATGCAGCTGCCCAGTTTGCTGGCGCAACCTCCACAACAGCAATTGCTATGAGCCCCAGAGCAGTTGAGCAGTTTGGATCACTGGGGATACTTTTCTGTTGGCTCAATATATTCTAATTCCAGGCGACTAGAGTTGTGAGCAGGTCGTTTTATCCGTTCAGACCTGTTTATGTATATAGTAATTTTCTATATATATATATACTGCCCAAAATTTGCATTCCAAACATGACAACCATATGGGAGCCTAGGTTGTGATCCATCCTGAACCACTGAAGCAGTGCACCACGTCATCAGGTATGGAAATCATGAAGCAAACATTTGAGACACAAAAAACGAAAACCACCTTATTGAGAAAGTAACTGAAGTGACTGGCAAGCACAGTGAAGAAACATCAGTCCATACCAAGCGCATGCCAAACCTGAATCAAATCGACTGAGGATCACAAAAAATCTGCAACTCAGAAAAACATCATAGGATTCTACCAAAACATGAAAAGGCTGCAGGGTTGAAAAATCTTAAGGGTGTTGAATTTCCAAAGAAATCACGAAATCACTCAGGCACCTACAATTCCTAGGCCCACAAAACCATGCTCAGCCCAAACATAGTTCGAGAGATCTGGGAAATTTGTGGTTTTCACGTGTGTTCTCTTTTTGCATCTTTTTTGGTTTATTTAGGAATTATGGAACCTTTGGAATTATTGGATTTTGTAATTTTCGGAGTTTTAAAAGGCCCAGTGCAAAACATAGTTTCACAGATCTAGTATTTTCAGGAACTTTGGGTTCAAGAAAAGACAAGATAGCAAATGTCGGGATAGATCCTACCACCAGATTCCGATGGTAAGCAATCAAAATTTGGCGGTTTTCAAAGGGGACAGCGACCCGATTGTTTTGTTTTTTTGGGTCGCTGACCATAATATATATATATATATATATATGTATATATGTATATATGTATATATGTATATATGTATACATGTATATATGTATATATGTATATATGTATATATGTATATATCTAAATATGTATATATCTAAATATGTATATATCTAAATATGTATATATGTATATATGTATATATGTGTATATGTGTATATGTGTATATGTGTATATGTCTATATGTCTATATGTAGATATGTAGATATGTAGATATGTAGATATGTAGATATATATATATATGTACATATGTGTATATGTGTATATGTGTATGTGTATATGTGTATATGTGTATATGTCTATATGTCTATATGTATATATGTATATATGTAGATATGTAGATATGTAGATATGTAGATATGTATATATGTATATATGTAGATATGTATATATGTATATATGTATATATGTATACATGTATACATGTATACATGTATATGTGTATATATCGTGTACTCGTACAATCTAAACATATGCTCGTGCATGTTTGAGTGAATCTATCTTGCAAATTTTCAACAGACCTACTTTATCTTGAGACACATCAGCAGTATCCAGTTTTTGCGTGGTCAAATGCTGATTTTGCTGATATCCCAATGATCTTCCCGACCCACCGCAGATCACGCCGAGGCCCCAGTTGCCACCCCTGCCAAAACACAGCTTCTGGGAGGTGCTACTGTTACCCTGGAGCATTTCTTCCGGCTATGCGCGGAAATTAGGAGGTTGAAACCAACCAAAACTTGGATGACCATAAAAGTAGGATGGCTCACATTCAACCGTCAGACAAATTCGGAAAACTACCACGTAAACATGCTGATGAAACTCTGTAACCGGGGATTCTCATGGTTTTCAAACCGAAAAGCGAACGAACCAAAAGTGGGTTCTGGGTCTCAGTTTTTCCCCACTTGAGGTGAGGAGTAAGAATCATTATGTCATAATGATGGGTCCATCTCACCCAATGTGGGTTCATCCCCAAGTCACCATTGCGCGTCTTGTCAACAGCTTCAGCTCGCCCAGGTGCCGTCCTTCCAGTTGCCGCAGCTGCCTCCTGTCGGGGGGCCAACAAAATTCCATCCCATCTCAATCAGAGAAGGTCAGAAAGAACATGTACGTACATGTATAATTACATACGTATATAGTCCGTGTATATATATATATATTTATACACAAAGATACATATGTCTCGTTCACACATACATATATATATATATACATATATACAGGCACACCATAGTCACCATCAAGCAAGACCTATCTCTGCAGGCAGCGCTTCCATCTCTGCAACAGAGGCTTTGGTGCTCTCCATGGGTCAGTGGGAAGAATCCAAAGATTTGACCCATGGATTCCAGGTGTCAAGAAACGGCCCCGGTGAATTTTGAATCCCTTTTATGTCGGGAAAGCATGGGAAAACATGTGGGAAAACATGGTTGATGCCGATTGATGCCAATTGATGCCAATTGATGCTATGTTTTTTTTGGTTTTCCTCTAGACACACCCATATCACGGCCCAAGAAACTGTACATACTTGGCTTTCCAGGTGCCTCTCGAGGGAGATCATGGGTTGCCCCCTTTTTGAGAAGATAGAAATGGCCAACGGTCAAGATTCAAGACACGAAATCACGTGGGTGGCAATGGTGGGGTCGTTAGGTCACGAGCCAAAGTAATTGCTCCAAATGGAGTGGCCACGCCCAAAATTGGTGCCTTGAGCTTGTTGATTTCCGCTGGAAAATTCTCAATCAGAAATAACCAACACTTGAGAAAATTCATCCTCCATTCTTTCCTAATCCATGTTGAATCTCCATGTGTGTGCAACGTAACCTTGAAGACGGTCACCAGTCGTTCCCGAGAGATTTCGCCAACCGAGCCACGCATGGTCTGTCGCAGGGCCGAGTCGGTGGACAGCTTCCGGCGGGAGGTGATCGTTGGTGATAGTGATAGATGACAGATATGTGTGTATATATATATGGTACCCCCCCAAAACCTATGCAGACTTCAATTTTAGTGGTATTTACAGTGAATTTTATATATTTTGGCACCGATTTTGTTCCGATTAAATTTGAGGCACCAACAGTGGGAAAACTGAAAAATTGAAAAACTGAAAAACTGAAAAACTGAATTCCATAGGAGAAGTCTGGGGTCCATTCTTCTCTTGTGGAATTCAGTTTTTCAGTTTTTCAGTTCTAGGCTTCTTCTGAAAGGTGAAAACCCGAAAAGCTGAAAAAACTGAAAAAATCAAGTGACCCCAAGCTGTGTCAATAATTATTCTGCTACAGAATGCCATATTTCACCTGAACTTGTAGCCATTTACCATCCAGCAGTTCAGTAAACTTCTCTGTGCTTCTGCAATGGGATTGCGTGCGCGCAAATGCAAACCTTCTCTTGGCAAAGTGACGAAGAAGCCGGGCCTCCTGAAGGGAACCGGCGAGAAGACCAGGTCTCCGTCTTCAAAGTTTCTTGCTGTCATCTCAACAATGCACTTGAATACAAACCACCGTCATTCAAGCCACTGCCGCCGCTTAAGTATCTGAGGTTCGATCCCGAATCCTTGGCGTCCCTTGTCTGCAGCATGGGTTGCGCATGGGACCTGCGCATTTCTGCTTTGCAATGTTCCAACATTCCAGCCTTTTCCTTACGGGCTCAGGTTGGCAGAGGAATCGTGGCAGCACCTTGGCTCTCCACGTTCGTCATGTCAGAATGCGCTTCTTCATGCACACGTAGCCACACAACGCCCGAACTGGCCCCAACCAAGGTATGAAGATGATTTCTGGGAGCTTTCACGCACCGTCACTTCTGCACAGCTTCAAGATTCAAGCACCTTGCCACACTCAGGTCTGCGTGGACTTTTCCAATTAGATTCCACCTGGCCTGGGACACCACCAGGCAGCCCGCCACCGACGCCCCCAAGCCCACACACTCCTCCGGGCACGCCTCCACCTACACCACCTACCGCCCCGAGGACCTTTGCACCCATGACGCCGCCAGAACTTCTGGTGGGTCTAGTCGCGCCTTGCACGCCAGAAGGTGCGTGAAATGAAACTGGTGAGTTTGAAGCCTACCTGAAAAAAGACTGCAGTGTGAGCGTTGTGCAGTTTTCAAGTCTCGTATGACCTCACAGATACTGACAGATACTGTAACATCTGCTTTTGTCTGACAATGATAACCACGCATAAGGAAGCATTCTCATACCATCTGGTTCCAGCACTTTGCCTTCCCATATGCAATTCTCAATGCCATTTCAGCACGCCAAACTCAAACTTCGTTCTCTCCAAGTTCTTCGCGCCATTTCGTTGCCATGCTTAAGGCCCCTGAGGATATGACCCTGGACGACTTCAACCTGATCGTCGATGGTATGGCATGTCGATCTTTGGCATCGCCCTTCACCTGTCAGGCGCCGCAAGGCATCTTTCACCACCTCAACTTCCCCATGACTGAAGCGGACTCTGTGGATTGCAACCCTTCTGTGCACTACCTGGATGTGGTGAAGAATTACCATTTGGACATCACCATTGAAGAGCTGGAGAGAAAGTACAAGGACGCCATCCTCAACAAAGACTTGCAGCTCCTTCCTGCGCCTTTCGGTCTTCGTAGCAAGGTCCAGAGCGATTGCAAGATCCGAATTGTCTTGTCCGAGTTCGCCGAAGGCTCCTACATCATCATCAAGCACATTATCTTCCCTCAAAAGTCCAAGCTCTCTGTCGTGAAAAAGCTTGTGTATGGCACTGTCTACAGACCATTGTTCATGCACGTACCCACCGTGGGCCGCAAAATCTTGCAGTACTGCTTGCAGAACATGGGTGGCACACACCTGCGATGCTTCGATCTTGCAGCCGATGCACCTACAGCAAAGAGCCGCAAAGTCTTTGATGATCTGGAAGAAGTACCAGGTGGATGGCGAGCCTTGCATCAGGTGCAGTCCAGAGATTGACTTTTTGAGGGGTGAGGCAGGCACTGTTATCATGGGCGACTTCCTAGATGATCCATGCACCCAAACCCTGGGCTTGAAAGCTTTGAAGTCTTTGCTTGATGTCAGCCTTTATGAAAGTATGTCATGGGCGCGCTGGGGCGCTGTGAAATGGGTTCAGAACCAACCTCGTGCCTTGGCTGCCAATGCATATGAGGCCGGTGTCGGCGAGTCTTTCATCCCTCTGCTCAAGTTCGAGACCTTCTGGGAAATGGTGCGTCCTTGCCTTTGCAAAGAAGCCACCAAAGCTGATGTGGATGCCATCTTGAAACGTGCCACTTTTCTTGTCAATACCAAGCAGTTCGTCTACTACAGGAAGAATGACCAAGTCCCTCGCAAGTGCATTCCTGGGGCGGACTACTTGACGGACGAAGGCAATAAGTGGTACGGCAAGTTTAAGAACAATGTGAAGGACCTCCCCCCCAGTTTCGACACAGAAGTTCAAAAGGAACAGGCGTGGCTGTCCCTCATATTCAAGAAGCTTCAGGAGCAGCGGCAGCCTGACTGGGTTCATCGTCAAAAGGTGCGTGGTCTTCTTGAAAACAGTCATCCTGAGCCAAGTTGCTTGGAAAGAGTCACTTCCTTGGAAGGTCCGCGGGTTGCCATCAAACGTGAGCGGGAGGAGTCTGTTGAAAGGAAGACCTTGAAGGCTGCCAGAGCTTGGAGCATTGAGCTGAAAGCCAGCAAATCTGTCATTGACCTTGATCCTGACGATGATGCTGCCCCAAACAAAGAGTCCTTGGAACAGGCTCTGGAGGGGGTCATGGAAGAAGAATGCCCTGACGTCTTCGAATTTGTCGCCATGGAGTGAGCTGGAGGTGTAGCTGTTCAGTTTTGAGCCCCGCACATTGCACATCTTGACGCAATCAACTGGACATTGTGTTTGTGCATATGATGCGTTCATTCATGCCTTCTGCGTATCTCACCATTTATACCAATGAAGGAAAGAAGGTGTGCCTCATCCCTTTTGTGAGTTTCAGTTCATGCCCATTGCCTTTGCATACAGAAGCTTCATCTTGTCATGTCTGTGCTTCATGCGCATATGCAGTGCCTTTTCCAATTCTAAAGCCATCACATTCCTTGCTTGTCACACATGTTGGCGCATTCGACCACATTGTCATATGATGTATTCTGCAGCCATTTTTGATCTCCGAATCCAAGACTTGTTAGTCTTCTCAGCCTTGACATCATGGTGGCAAAAGGGAGCCGTACTTCTTCTCAGAAGCGCGCAGGGGTGCGCAAAATCTTGAAGCGGCCTGCTGGCAAGTTCAACCCTTTCCCAGCCCCCAAACGTGGAACAGGCCGTGCTGCGCTCAAGCGCCCTGCTGTGAAGAAGACAAAAGCTTGGGAGAATGTCCCCTACACTAGACAGCCTGCTGAGGTAGATCCTACAGGGCTCAGGATGGACAGACATGTTTGGAAAAGGTCCATGGTGGACTTGCTCAAGGCGTCTGACAAGGAGATCATCAATATGCTTCTACAGGATGGCTTGCTGACGTCATGGGAAGGTAAGCTATGCCCTCGGTGTGGAGAAGGCACTTTGTCCAAGGCCAAGATTGATGTTGGCGGCGTGCCCAAACATCGTTGCAACAGGTTCCGCTGCCAAGTAAACATCAATCCGCACCACCTCCACCCGCTCTTCACAGACGGCAATGGTTCTGGTTCTACATCTCTCCGGATTCAGGCTGCGCTTCTTCTCCTCAAGTTGAACAAGCTCTCCCATCCGGTGATCCACCGCCTCCTCGGTATCAACCACAAGTCCATTGAGCTGATGGAGAAGAAGCTCTGTGACCTTCGAAAGCGTTGGGTCGAGCACCAGGAAAAAGGCATCAACTTTGGTGGTGGCCCGAAATGGTGTGATGTCGAAGCCGATGAAACTACTTTTGATCGCAAAGACCTGAAGGCCTTGGCTCCTGACAAGAACCTGCCCATTGTTTGGGAACAGTGGTGTGGGCTTGTCAAAAGGGGCGATCCCAAGTCTTTGGTCTTGAAGCGCCTGGTGCCCAGGATGTCCGAAAAACGCGCGCCTGGCCCAGGTGCCATTCGCAAGGTGGAGTGGGCTCCTCTTGCGAAAACTTACCTTCAGGACAAGCAGGTCATCTTGCACACCGATGCTGCAAAGACCTACAAGATGCACATCCCTGGCGTCGTCCATGACAATGTCATCCACGCCAAGAAGAGGGTGAAGATCAATGGGAAATGGCGGTGGCAAAACCCTTCCTACGTCCGCATCGTCACGCACAAAGTTCCAGGTGTGAAGAAGCCAATTAAGTGCAAGGCCGGTACGCAGATCATTGACCGAGCTTGGAAGTTTTTGAAGGATCGCCTCCCTCTTAACCAGAATTGCAAAGTTGGTTCTGCAGCTCTCCGTGCCAAGTTGAGGAATGTTGAGGTCCGCCCAGTATGAGTACTGGCACAAGAACGACGACCTTTGGCTGGCAACCGGTGTGCTCTGCTCCTGGGAAATGGTCAAATTCCAGCTCCGTCCCTGAAAACGTCATCGCATCGCCATCTGTGTCAAAAGCATTGCTGCCTGCCTTACACATTCACCTGAGCAGCGTTCAAACAAAAAAAGTTAGGGGATAATCACCAGAAGCCACCAGTTCATTCTATGTTTGAACACTGGTCATTCATCAACGTCTTCAGGAAAACAACCTGCTAGCTCACTTCTCAAAGTCCACACAGAACCCCCTTGTCACTGTTGCCTTTGACCACATGAATAGTGTTCAGAAAAGATGCAAGGGGTAATTATCATAAACCACCTTGTCAGTTGACTTTTGGATACTGATCATTGCAAAAAAACAACATGTCATTTTGTTTCGGACTGCTACTCATCATCTTGGCCGTGTCATCAACAGCACCTGCCGTCTTCTTTGCTCAAATCATTGCAACATGGCAGTATGCCTTCAAGCAGGGTCGCAGCTTCTGAAACATAGGTTCTGGGGGGGGTTAGCATATATTCAAAATACTAATACATTTTCTTGTTCTTTTGTAAATAAATAAATAAATAATATATATATATATACACCTACAATTTAGCGATGATGATGATGAAGAAGAAAAAGAAGAAGAGAATCTTGACCAGTGCAATCACCATAGATATCAATCGAACATCACCACTGTCAGCTGCCAGCATCAATATCAGTCTCTAGTACTCAATCTCGATTTGATGGCATCAAATTTTCAACTTCGGAAACGATCTCAATGACTCAGAGGTATCTTCGCTCACTGGAGCTTTCAGAAAGTAGAACCCCAAAATCATCCACAAAAGCTGGATACAATTTTGGTTTCTATACCGTTGGAAGAGATATAACATCCAAACATCATCACCCAATGATTGGGTGAGACATATGAATTCATAGCACCCCAACAAGATGCCGAAAGCTTCGAATCTTCGGCCTTTTTCTCGGATCCCGACAAAAAAGGGCGCTTTGTATCACCATAGAGCTAGATATAATGTCCAAAATATGTCCAAAATTAGATCCACCCAGCAATATATATATATATACACTATATATATATATCCAAAACATATATCTAGATGGGTGTTTCCCAAAATGGGGGATCCCCAGTCGTCACCATAGGTCATCCGTAACTGGGATGATGGCTGGGGGTAGCCCTATGACTTGGAAGCCGCCATATGACCCCAATTGTGGATGGACATAAGGATTGATGCTTATCTCAATACGGAGAATTTAAGGATACCCTCTGGTAAACTGTCCCATAACTATGGAAAATCACCATGTTCAATGGGTAAATCCACGAACTAAATCACCATTGTCCATAGCAAACTGTTAGTCATTACCAGAGGGTATTTTTTGCATTGGACATAGAAATATTTTTTTGATCAGATCCCTCTGCCAGGTGGCTTCTTCCGCTCACGGCTCCAAACGCCCCAGTGCCAGCGAGTCACCGCGCAGGGCCAGGAGGTGGCAATTCAACCAGTAAAAATTGTTGGAGATTGGCATTCAAATCTGACGTTGCTAAAAACTTGTGAAATCTATGCTCTAATCGATCATGGGGATTCAACTGACGAAGGTTTGGGATTTCAACTGATTTCAACCGCAACTGGGAGCTTCGCCAGCAAACAAGAAGCATTTTGCTTGCCCAAAATTCACAGGCGTGGCGCGGTGGTCGACATCGAAGCTGAGTGGCGAGAGTGGGACGCGCGCCACCAGGCGTGGGTTCCAGGTGAAATCCAAGTTCTATTGGTACCATTCATGGGGGAACGAATGATTGTCCCCAGAATTAGTGAAACAAGGATTTTTCTAGCCACTAATTGTTGGATAGTTCAACAATGAATGGCTAGAAATTGGACATTCAATCCTTGATGATCATTTACCCTTCAGTAAATTGACATAGACCCTGAGAATAGCCAATCTTTAGTGGAAACTAATCTTCCAACCCCCAACTCATGGCGGGGTTGATGCTAATTTACTGGAGGCTAACTAGCCAACTTATGGAGATATGACCCAGCAAAATGAGATCTAACCAATGCAGAACGCAAATTGGCTTGAGTACTTCGACGGTAAGCATTGGGGGATTTAGCCAACAAAACCATAGGAATCATTTTATTGGGATGTTTAATGGAGTCAGAAATGTTATGCGTACATACATATCATCACAATATGATATTAAGATTGGTTGGTAATAACCCCTAGTTAACTAAGCAACACAAATGCTGCTGACAACCAACCGCAAAGGGGACGCTTAATGGTATATATCACCAATAGCATGATACTTGGGTGTGTGTTGAAGAGGGGCACCCCCAACTCATGGCCGTTGGTTCATCGGACAATGTTAAAAATCCCATGGATCCCATGGACAGCTAGGCCATGCGGCCGCAAATCTCAGGCGGACGGTGTCGATTTCATAGGAACCCCAGGAACCCCGAAGCTGGTGGATTCTTGAAATTCCACGAATACACCTAAATTTCACATGGAAGCCCATAAATTGGGTCTGGAAGAAAAAGTCTTACTCGATGAAACAACCTTTGGGTTCCATGTTGAATTGCAGGAGTGTCCATGTTTCATTCAAGGGGTGCATCTCGCGAAGAAGCACTCAAGCGTCACATTTATGAACATGAACATAAAGATGTCCCTGGTAGAATAACCGAAAGGACAGTGGTTTCCAGGAACATATTCCTCCAGGCACTGCTACTGAGAGTTCCAGAGAATCTCCTGTACCCATGGAGAAGGCAGTGGGATGGGATATGTCGGATATGTGGATCAAAGGATATCTTGGGGTAGCCAGGTACGTGCCAGACGTTTTGAGATATAAGTGGAGTGTAGTTCAAAGGCTAACTTAGTTGCAATCCAGTAAGACGACCAAGAATTTTTTTGAGCCAACCATCGCGACGGGGGAGACATGGACAGGTGCTAGTTGGAAGTGGGGTCATGTCATGTAAGATTATTTTGGGTGAAGGGGCACCCGGTTTGGCTGCCACTGCAAAATGAAGAACATTTACTTGGTCGTTTGCTGGGGATGAACATCTAAACAATTCAATCCCGAACTGCTATATAGCTATGGGTATTCAGAGGGACGCCATCTTGAGTGCTTCATCCTAACAATGATGCCAGCCCTGGATGAGTAAACCTTTGACTGAATTACGGGGACGCCCCAACTTTCAAACCATGCAGGGGTCAGCATTCATCTGGCATCCGAGGGGACCTGGCATCACAAGTATCTGGACCAGCTAATAGTGGTGTGTGTTCAAGATGACTGACTCTAGAAGTGGATGATCTAGTCATGTTACCCCATTTTCTGCTGTCGCTTCCTGTTGTAAACCAGGAGTTGCTGGACTCTTTTGGGATGGGGAATGAAAGTGGTCCGGTCCCCTGCCCATATTTTGCGAAACATCAGCATTTCTCCAGTTTCGTCACATGCGCATTTTTGTGCTGACTTTTCCAGCTTTTTCAGCCACAAGGCCTGGTGTTCCGTCTGAACTGTGCACAGGTGAAGTCTGATCAATCTTCAGGTGCAGCTGCCAGGGTATGTGAACCAGTTGGCCAGTCACACCTTGGTGGTGACTGCACCCGCAACTGGGCCCCAACAATTAACAGCATTGGCCCAAAGAAGTGGTTTGGGATAACATTTCGAAGATGTTTGGAAAAAAAACAGAGTTGCGATGTCATTCGCTTGTAGGTTGGTATGCGCTAGTTCAAGAATATTGGGGCTTGCCCATCTTGAACAATTCCTGCAAGTGTGAACCCTGAAGTTCAGGCTTAGTAAAATTAGTTTAAGGGCTGCAACCGCATCTACATAATTCACATGGATGCAGATATCTACCCAGCTAGCTCTCGGTCTGTAAGTTGCCCATCCATCTCCAGCTGTGAAGTTTCAAGGGTCCCAAATTGCCGCCGTTATTGGTCTTGGCTCAGCTTCACACGTCCTGCGCTGTGCCGCCAGCAACCCTGGGCAGCCAGGGTGTAGGGACTGGGGCGCAGCAAAGGTCGGGGTAAAACTTGACATCTCAAGATGTTAAACCAGCTGCTCAGGGGAGTCTGGAGCAGGATATTGACTACTGGTTGGTGGCTTCAGATATTCTCTGATGATTACGAAGCCCAAACTGTAGGACTCCGGGTGTTGATCCCACTCAGCTGGTGAACAGCCACGCTTTTCTCACTCTACGTCCCACCTCACTGGGGTCGTGGGGTCGCCAAAGACGGCAGCAACCAAACGAAATCCACCAATACCAACAACTGATAGAAATGAATCAAAACGATCTCCGATGGTCTCTGATCTTTTTCCTCATTTTTTTTGCCATATTTTTGGTGGTGATAGAAGCTTCACCCAAAAAAAACTCCCAGATTCTCCGGTGATTTCTTGGCAAACCGCCATGGCCATGGCTTCGGCTCTTCTGGCGACCGTGGATCCGCTTCCTGCGTCGATCCCGGTGAAGGCGATGCCGCGTTGCGCCTTCAGCTGCCCAGTTGAGATTTGACCAGCTGAAATGGGGTTTAATAGCTATTTAACGGGATTTAATGTGGGGTTTTACCAAATTGATACAACTGTCATCAACTGTCAAAAGATAGCCAGATAGTCAATGAACCAGTATCCAAAGCCAAAATGGGGATGAAAAACCATCGAAAATGAGATTTTTAACCAATGATTTGAGTACCTGAGGTCATAGCAATTCTATGCCTCTCATTGGTCATACTAGAGTCTTTTTCGCTGATGATGTCCCATGTTGGGACGGTTATACACTCGCATTTTTGTTGGCTACCTGGATTTGTGGGTGCTGAGATTCCTCTTGTGGCTGGATGGATTTTTACATCTTCTTTCTTTGTAGGCGACATTTTCGATTTTTTTCCATCTGGAGATTTCTTCAAGCTGCTTGATACCCAGCCACAAGAGGGCCCTCTTGGGGCCTGGCCCGCAAGTCCACTGGAAGCCCAGGCTGTTTAGGATGCACTTCTCATGATGCCCGCCGGAGTCACGAGGTGAGATGCTGATGCTGATCCTGAAATTTTGTGGATTGAAGCCACAGCACCAAGAGATTATGGGCCAATTATGGGTATTGAAACAATAAAAGATCCAATAAAAGATTCAAGTAACATACTGTATAAAAATTTGATCGGCGATTTTCCAGGGAAAACCTGAGGGTTTTCCAGTCAGCTTGGCCATTGTCATCTTGGAGTTTCCCACAGTGAGGGCCAAATTTTGGTGCCACGGCAGGAGCTGAGCCTTGTGGAACATGTGCGACTTCTTTTGCAGGTCGACTTTCTGGGAGACCACATGGATGGCAGCTATTTATTTAAGGGTTTGTCCAAAATATGGCACCCAGATCCAGAATATAGTTATATACTGTTATATATATATAATGTTATATATATGGGTTTCCCATTCAAATTGCCACAGTCAAAAAAAGCCCGAGTTTGAGATGAGCGTTTTGGGGTAGCTTATCGACAGGACTCCAGTTCTTTGTGCTTTGCAATGTGCTTTGCAATAAGACTCATGTCACTCATGTCTGGATTTCAAGTACAATAGGCCGGTGCGTCATTGTTGAGACAAAGATGATGCTACCTGCTACACACCAGCGTGGCCTACGGCCTTAAAGTTCATTTCAGGACCGGGCATGTGGCCATATGACTTGACAGGTACAGTGGAATCAAATGGAATGGCATCACAGGTAGATTGCATATATGGTGGTTTCCTAAAATAGGGGTATCACGGTATCCCCAAATCATCCATTTTTAGATGGATTTTCCATTATAAACTATCCATTTTGGGTATCCCCATATATATATATATAGATATAGATAGATAGATAGATAGATCGATAGATAGATAGATAGATAGATGGCATATTGGGTGCCGACAGGATACCTGGAACCCAAATGACCCCCATCCACGAGCCGCGAAGCCGCGAAGCCCTCAGGCGGTGATCGAGATGAAGCGCAGCCTCGAGCAGGCATTGATGGCAGTGTCACTACATGAACATTAGTAGGAGGTAGCTGCAACCACAAGAATTGGGCGTATATATATATTATATATATAC